CTCTAAGATATATGGCCTGGAATATTAGAAGCCTTGGTAATACATTTAGACTAGGCTTTGACCCAAAAAGTAAAAGGAAGGCAACCGCAAACTCTCAAACATAAATCCCAAAATGTGAAACCTCCTTTAACACAATGAAAAGACCACCTCGTATAAAAGACATGAAGAGTCAGACCCCCTCTGAACTTGTATATCTTTCCTTTAAACAAAAACTCGAACATTTCCAAGGAAAACAAGGCTGATAACATGCAATACTAGATGAAGAAAAACAGATTAATCCTGCTTTGGGGCTCACTTGAACTGAAAGTTCTGAAACGTCTTGAAACAAGCCTTAATTAGATGTTATGACAGAGATGAGATAACTGTAAAAAAAAATATTTGTTTAAGAAGCTAAATCTGAACATTAATTTTTTTCTTTTGGTATTTATTATTATGTGATATAGAAATTAATTGCTAACTAAAGTTTATGTTGGTGTTAACTATCAATATTTTTATTGGAGAAAAATTCTTTGCAATTAAAAAAAATCAGAAAAACTCAGCCTTCTCTCCCTTAGCTCAATTATTATGAAATGAGGTGATTAGAATGATCTTCCTCATTCCTGTGAGAGAAGACTCCTTGAGGTTATTTATTTTAATTTTCTGTGTTTATACTGAGACCACTGTGGCAGCCATATCCCTTTGGAATAACATCATAACCTGACTTTTTTTAGGCACCTCCATAGTGTGATGATTTTATCTTTTGTTTATCTAACAATTTTATTCAACTCAAAAACTTTTTATTCAACTCAAAATGTATTAACTTTTAAAAAGTGCTTTCATATTTTCTAGATAGGCTGCTTTTTGCTCTTTGGATTTATATGAAGTTGACACACTCTTCATTTAATCCATTGGGATTTAGCAAAATATTTATATTTTTAATATATTAATTAATTCATTAAGCCACAGTACTAACTAATCTGCATATTAACCTGGCATTTTGTAAAGTAAAAAAGGTCATAAAAGACCTTTAAATCTTCAGTCACCAATGCACCGGAGACATCACATTTAAGAGCATCAGCTATCTGACCCACTGCCATTTCAGATAAGGAGCAGTTTCCCCTGTTGACCTTGGTCTTGGCATAGACCTACTACAGTGGTATATATCACATTAAAACACACTGTTCCTAAGAGCCTTATGCATCTGGAACTCCTTACGGGCAAAACTAAATTAACTGGCTGAAGACAAACCTAGAGCTCTCAGAGACAGATCTTTAGTATCAAATTTTAAAAAATATGCTTAAGTAATTTAGGTTGAAGAAGGATTGTTTCCACTAAAGAACACACACTAGGTAGGTCAACAAGGAAAATGAATTTGCTAAAACTGTTATTTCAGAGGATTTAGTGGGAAAGGTGAAGAACTGGGAAGAGAAGAAGCAGCTTTTCCGGTTGTGGGTACATTGTCTAATTCACTTGAAATAAAATAAAGAACCATCATAAAGTACAAGTAGATATAGTCTGTTTTCTAATTAAAATAAAAGCAGACATTATAGTGCCACTTGGTTATACAAGATTAGCAACAGCTGCATTAGTAGAGTTGCTCAATAAAACATAATATAATCTTATAGAAATCAGTAGATGTTGTAGAAAAAAGTTGATACAGTGCCTTTCTTCAGTGCTCAAAACAGGGTTGCATGTAAAGAGAATTATCAAAGCTCCAAAACCAGAAATTGGGAATATCAAGCACTGCTTACTTTCTGTGAGCCTCGGGGAAAGGATGAGGGAGACGCCAAGGGAAGACTTCTGCTCAGTATCTCCCGGGTCAGAGGTTTCCCCCAGCATTAAAGCACTGCCCGTTGAGAGTGAAGGATTTAATATTTAATGCTTGTCTGTCTTTTTACTCTGTTTTGCCTCCACTGATTTTTGTATCCCTGTATCCACAAAACAGTCACTCAGAGAAGATGTTATCAGCCCAGAAGGTTAACCAAGCCTCCTTACAAGCTCCCAATCCACAGGAAACATCACGAACGCCAGAAGTCGAGCAGTTATCTATTGAATAAAACTGGGTATTGTAGCTCTCTTTACAATTCTATCATGTTGGGAGTAGAATAATTTTTAGGTGGTAGATTAAAAATATTACAACTAAATGTGCCCTAAGAGAGCCTAGGACCAGGGCTAAGACACTGGGTTGGCAGGTTAATTTCAGCAGGTGGGTGGGATTTATTTGGGCTGAAGTTGAATGCCTACCATTAGACTACTACCCACACATTCCAGTTACCTGCTGGGGTTCTAGAGACACATACATTCATAGTCTCTGATCTTTCCCAAGGTGACTGAACTGATTTCAAATGCCTAAATCTGTGGTGCAGAGATGAGAGAAAAGCCATTCAGTTCACCAGCCATTATAAAACAAACATGAAAGCCATAGACCAAGCATGTCAAACTCAAGGCCCGTGGGCTGCATGCCTTATTTATTTGGCTGGTGTTAGCCTTTGAGTTTGACATGCTTGCCATAGACCATCATGGTAGATTGCAAAAATGATCCCAATCCTTCACCCTCCCTACCTGGCATGCTTTCCATGTAATAATTTTGCTTTCTCACTTTGACTCTAGGCTTGGCCAGATGACTTACTTTGGCCAATGTGCATTTAAAAAAAATCATGACAGGATTATTTATCTGTACCCCAGCACATGTTTTGACACCATTCTTCAATAGGGGTTGTGTTGTGAGGTCAGTTTACACTCAGCTGTACTATTCTAGTTCTCTTGGGACAAACGACACATATGTCAATCCAGTCTTTCAGACCCTTCTTTCAGTATTTCGTTATGTTCTTACTGGATTTGGCTATGCCATCTGTTTGGAGGCTCCTCCCTTCATCAAGTCCCTAGAACACGGGTGGTCCACTCCACTTCCATTTTAAACCTTCCTTTCTAGCCCCGTATGTGTTTACTGGATGTAATTTGAAAGTCAATTAGAGCTATGTATTCTATAAATTTAAAATTTTAGAATTCATAGTCCACTTTCACAATTCATTATCGGTAGATGACAACTGAGACCTTCTATTGTATTATAACATCTTAACAACTGGAGTCTTAATTTACCATGTGGCAAAAATGGTATTTTTAAACTTCACATAACACCAATATTTGGTAAAATGCAGAATGACAGAGTTTTACTTGTGATATTAATTTATTCCTTAAGTGGCTTCTCAGCCTCTCACTCAATAAAATATTCTCACAGTGTCACATTCACTGAGCCAACATGAACGTTCCCATGCATTTCTTACTAGCTTTGTGAGACACATGTTTTGGCTCATCCCTAAAGAACACTCAAGCATGCTAATTTGATAAAGCTGCATAATACGGACATTCCACATTTGTACACTTTGGCCTTCCTGGTGGATGTTTATTATCAGTTATGCCTCAGAGTGCTATCGTCGCGTAGCATCATGTAGTGCAGATTAAGAGAACAGGTGAGACATAAAAATGAAAGGTCTGTTCTTACCAGCTCAGGGATCTGGTTTGATATGAAGCCGGCCTCTAAAGAAGATAAACAAACTTGGCTACAACCCAATAGACCCACCTTCCGTGCAGACCCAAACATCTGAACTGCTAAATACCAGAATAGCTCTGGTTTCCTTCAAGATATCCCTTTTGGCCATTTTTTTTCAGGGTATATAATTTCCACTGGACCTGTGTCTAGAACCAAAATGGTCTGTAGTTATCATTGGATCCAGTGAAGAAACATCTGTTGAGCTCCTGATATCTGTCAGACCCTGTGCAGGCCTGGGGAATGCAAAAGGAATAAGACTAGACCCCGATTTTCAAGAAATTCTCACTCTTGTTAGAATAAGTTGACATTTTCCTGAACTTACATCTCACCACTTTCTACTGTTTATGAAAAGTCTAGAAGAATCAGAGGTGTATGTTTTTTCCTTATTCTGTTTCATGCTTTATAATATGTAATAATTTTGACCAAACCTTTTGCTTCCACATATAACACTTTTCACTGTAGAATAAAATCTTTCTTTGAAAAATATTACCAGGGTACGTACTTTATATTTTACAGTTTGGAGAAAAATCTACTCACAGACCACACAACTCAAGAAGTGGCTATGAATTATTATTGTAAGTAAAGACTTTCCATTGCAACACCTTAGGCCTTTTCTTTTCAGTTGAGAAGCCATTAACCAGTCTCACTTCCACCTTCATCATCACTCTCACTATGCATGCCCCGATTCCCACTGCTTACATATTCTTCCAAATCTTCTTATAGTCAAATCCATTATATGAATGACCTTAGGAAAGGTCATTCCAACATCAAAAAAACTAAACCAATATATCATTCATTTGCAAAGGATTCTAATCCTTTGGCCATTCCAATATCTAAAAAACTAAACCAATACACCATTCATTTGCAAAGGATTTGGTAACATTGGAATCCAATATACACTTTATTCATATTGTTGCTACTATTGTCACTATGATTAAAACAGCTAAAAGTATAACATAATAGAGAGCTAAAGGTACTAGATCCATTTCTATTAAGGTCTCCTTCTAGTTCTAACCTAAAAACATTAACAAAATGTTCTTGGTAAATGGGATAAATTGTGTATTGCTTATTGTATGAGTACATAGAATACCTAGCTGAAGATAGACAGATTTAATTATTTGTACATTCCTTTGTCTGGATTTGTTTGCAACAAAATGCTCTGCATAACCCCAACCACAAGAGTAGGTTTCGAACCTGTTACTCTGGGCCCAGGGTGGGTATAGGACAGTGATGGCGAACCTATGACACACGTGTCAGAGGGGACATGCGAACTCATTTTTTGGTTGATTTTTCTTTGTTAAATGGCATTTAAATATATAAAATAAATATCAAAACTATAAGTCTTTGTTTGACTATGGTTGCAAATATCAAAAAATTTCTATATGTGACACGGCACCAGAGTTAAGTTAGGGTTTTCAAAATGCTGACACGCCGAGCTCAAAAGGTTCGCCATCACTGGTATAGGACTTACTTGCTGCTGAGACAGCGTCTTAATGAGTAGGAGGCGCCCCCACCGCAGGTGCGTGAACACTCGCTCCATGAGCCCCAGGCGTCCCACAGGCTGTCCCTGTCCTCCTCGGAGCGGGTTGTCCTGGAGCTCTGTGGGAAACAAGAGGATGGTCAGTCTCATGTCCCCAACGAACCTTGAAACACATGACCTGAAACGCTGGTGGCCTGTATGTCTGTACAGGGTGGGCTTTCTGGGGAAGAAAGCATGCATCAGCTTCTTTCTAACTTAATAACGTATATATGTTAGGGGAGAAGAATATTTCAGCTCAGAGACCCTGGGTAATGACTAATAGAGAAAATGGAAAAGGGGGCCAAGAAGAAGAATCTGGGTTAGTGGGAGGTAAATTGCAATAAAGTCACAATTTTGGCCAGAGTTCATGAGTCTACTTTTCATCTCTGTGAAGAGAGAAGCTGCTCTCAGGGAGGCTTCTGCTCTGAGAAACTGGATATGTGCATACCAGCACTGCTTTCCAGAACAACTGCTTATGCAACTGACAGTTGTTGTTTTTTAAAGAAGCAATGTTATTCTCAGTTTTCAGATTTGTTCATGAAAGTAACTGCATGGAGTGACTTTAGCAGAGACTGACTTTAGATAGATCGACACACTTGTTACTGACAAGCTTCCTCATGAAAACTGCATCTGCTGTCAGGAAAGTCGTTACGTACAGGCCTCATGTTGTGCTTCGCGTTTCATACACAGAAGAGTCAAGGATAAAACCTGCGCTATGGTTAATAGAACAGGCTCTGGAGTTAAAACTGTCTGGTTTGGATACGGATTCTGGTTTTTACTGTGTGTCCTTGAACCTCCTTACACTTCAACTTCTCTTTCTATAAAATGGTGATAATGTTATAACTACACTACCTCCCATGCATGCACACACACACACACACCCTATAGGAGGATTAGCTAAATGAACTTAGCCTAGGACTAGTTCCAGAGTACAGCAATCATAAATATTACCTGTGATTACCATGTTTTTATAAATTGAGAATATGTCATATATGTATTTACATAGTTATGTTAGTCTTCTGGGTTATAATAACAAAATATTAGCCTGGGTAGCTTAAAAACAACAGAAAATAATTTTCTCACAGTTTTGGGAGATAAAAGCCCAAGATGAGGGTTCCGGCATAGTCCCTGGTAAGAGCTCTCTCTGTGGGTTGTAGATGGCTGACTTCTCACTGTGTGCTCACAGGATCTCCACTTTGTGTTAGCATGGAGAGAGTGCGAGCAAACTCACCAGTGTCTCCTCTGATAAGGGCACTAATTCCATCATGAGGGCCCCGCCCTCATGACCTCAGCTAACCCTAATTACCACCCATAGAACCCATCTCCAAATATTACTGTATTGAGACTTCAACATATGAGGGGGTGGGGCAGGACTCAATTCAATCCATAGCAACAGTTCTACAAATAGCTAATGTAAATTGTGGCCAAATCATTTTACTGAATAAACCAAATGTGATATCTAAACATTAAAGGTGGTATCTGCTCATGTCAATCAGAGACATACGTAGGCTAAATATTAGAATTTCAAAACTATATTTGTAAATACCAAAACCATTAAGAAAATGTGCATGTCAAGCAATATGGCAATTTCATGTTCCGTTTTCTCCCTGAAGAGGCAGTGTGGAATACTGGGAAAGCATGGGACAGGGAGCGACAGAAGGGTAACTGCTCACAAAGCACTTGAAAACTTGACATGATATAAGCCAACATCACCAGCACATAGTAGGCTCATAAATGGTAGCTCTTATTAGCATGTTTAAATTACTTTCTCATGCCCTACCTAGTCGTACTTAGGGTTATGTTATCCAAGCAGGAGGGGCCTCTGGAAAAGGAAAGAATATCCTCTCCTCCCCAGAAAACTAAATCAGTTGCTGTGCTCAGGTGCCAAATTGATGACTTCTTGTAAGTTTTAAACCTGGTACAAATTAAGCCAGAAGCATGGCCTTAGGGTGCTGTATCAAGGGTTGGTTGACTGGCATGTGCTTTATTTAGATTATTAAGTCATTTCCAGGGCAGTGGGGTAGCTAGTGGTTGAGAGCAGGGAGTGTGGGCCTGCTCAGCCTGGGGAGGAATACTGCTCCAGAGTATCCTGACTGAGATCTCCTCATGATTCAGTTATTTCTAAATCATCAGATGGGGATAATAAAGATCCCCACATCACTGACACATTATGAGGACTAAAATAGTTAATATGTATTTATATGCATAGATGCATAACCTATGGACACAGACAATAGTGCCTTAAAGGCCTGGGGTGGCGCAGGAGCCAGGTGGGGGAGGGTAATGGGGCAAAAATGGGGGACATCTGTAATACTCTCAATAATAAAGGCACATTTAAAAAATATATGAAAAGCACATAAAGTGGAAGCAACCCAAATGTCCATGGGTAGATGAGTGAATAAATAAATTGTGGTATAAACATAAACTGGAATATTATTCAGCCTTAAAAAGGAAGGAGACTCTGACACATGCTATAACATGACTGAAGTTTTGTGGACATTATGCTAAGTGAAAATAAGCCCAACACAAAGGACAAATATGATACGATTTCACTTATAAGAGGTACCTAGAGCAGTTAAATTCATAGAGACAGACATTAGAATGGTGGTTGCTAGGGGCTGGAGAAAGGGAGGAAAGGAGATGGATATAGAATTTCAGTTTGAGAAGATGAAAATAATTCTGGAGCTAGGAGGTCTTGATGTTTGCACGATAATGTGAATGTACTTTATGCCACTGAACTACACACAAATGATCAAAATGGTAAATTTCATGTTATGCATATTATACCAAAATAAAAAAGCAAATACATACATATATTTTAAAAAGCTCATAGGGACTAAATAATAAACACTGTACAAGCATCAGATGCTATTATTATTTAACATTACTTATTAACATCATTTATAAACATATTTGGGCTCAGAAAGGCTCTAGGAGGTATACTGGGAAGGTACACATGTTTTTCTTCTTTTTTCTGAGTTCAGTTGAGACACTGTACTCTTAAGGGATCATCTCTGAAAATCCTGACTTTCCCACAGCAGAACCTCCCAGAGACCTGCCACGTTGCTTGGCCTGGAAATCTGACCTGCCAGGAGTTTGAGGTGGCATAGAATGGGTAGCAGAAACACACCGGTTATTGCAAAGCCTGTCCTTTCCTAAAGGAAGTATTTATTGAGGTTTAGGATTAATAAAATCAGTCTCTAATCATGGCAATGTGGGGTACTCTGTTTCCAGAGCTTAATTAAGTAGTGAGGCAAAGAAAGCTTTTGGCCATTGAAGTATACCAAGCCTCTTCTCCATACACCCATTAAATCATTCCTCAGATATTAAAAAAGTTTGTGTTGCATCTCCTGACTCTCCTGTTGCTTGCTCTGTGTGATTGGAAGATGGCTCTGTTGAGAGAGTACTTGCCTGATCAGTAACTATTTGTGTGACAAACATACCTTATACAATCCAGTTTCCTTCATTTTATTAAAATTAAATATGACTGAGCTAAAAACCAACATCACAAATGCTAGGATTCATGAAATAATTAAAATGATCAAGATGAGTGATACTGTCCAATTACTACAACTGCAAAACAAAAACATAAAACAATCCACATGAGACATTCCCATGTGAACTCCATTCCCATGTGAGATAAGAACACCAGAATGCCAAATCCTGGGGAGGTTTCTCTTTGGCTGCTCTGTGGATAAGATATTTAGGAAATAATGTAGAATTGAGATTTTGTTTTTCTAGAGAAGCAAATTGTTTCATACTCTGTGTGGAAGTTGCTTGATCTTTTTCATGTGCCTTGTTTAAAGAGCACTAAGGTGAGATCTCACTGCCTAAACATCTTCCCTCATCACAAGACAAGTTTCAGCACAACTAGACATACCCAGTACGCACATTTCTCGTTAAGAGACTGCACGGTATCCCAGAAGCCGGTCATGGGCCTATTTCTCAAGCTGTAACGAATGATTCATTTCAACTGAATCCATGTTCAATGTTAGAAAATATAAAGTGATTTTCCTCATCTTTCACTGTGCTAGCTTTTTACATCTATAATCTAAAATGGCATTTCAGCAATGCCTTGCAGGTCATTTAAGACCTAAAAGTGTTTGCTTATTACAGTTTTGCAGGGGGCCTTCCACAGACACAATGTCTGTGCCCGCTTCAGGTGGGACCCGTGCTTATTTCTCTCTTACTTTGGACTGTGCCGTCCTCTTCATTCCACAGTAGCAGTTTTAAAAAGTAAAAATTTCGAATTGCATCTAGCAAGAGAAACTGAAGCAGAGGGAAATAAGCAATAGATCATGAGTTGCCTAAAAGCAATGATGATTCCTTTCGAGCTTAAAATTCTAAGGTTTTCTAACACACCGCAGTTATTCAATTTCAAAAAAGTCTAGCTATTTCTAAATCTTTGGTGCCACATGATGACCTTTGAATGTAGTACTGATGATGACTTTTAAATCAACTACTTGTTAAAAACTCATCAATCCACTCCCCAGTTCCATCCATCATTGCTCCTGGTCAGTTAAGTGGCTCTACACCTCAGTCAATGCCAATTGCATGCAATGTACAGGCATGCCTCATTTTGTGGTGCTCTGCTTTGTTGCATGTCACAGGCGTGTTTTTGCAAGTGGAAGACAAAACCCTTCACACGCAAAAAGATTACGACTTGCTTTATTGCCATACACTCTTTATTGCGGTGGCCTGGAGTGGAACCAGCAATATCTCTGAGGTATGCCTACAGATTGTGGCCATAGACCATTAAATACCTCCTAGGAATATCGGAAGAAAATTAAAAGAGCTTCTCTAAATCCATCAACCTCAGAACGGTGTCATTTCCTCGCCATTACTGGCTTATCTAAATGTGGTTTTCAGCTGATAGTTTTGTGGTTGATTTCAGGGCCAAATGTAGCAACCAAGTCTCAGGTGATCAGCTTCAAGCCTGACAGCTCCAAGTAGTTAAACACTGAGTAATCACATGAAGCAATAGTTTCTCTGCATCACACTGCCCAGCAGACACTTAACCTTAGAATGACCTCCCCTGAACCACTTTATCCAGAAACCGCTTTCCCTGGAACCTGGACAG